GTGGTGGGGGGAGATACAGAGATCTGCCCTCTTAGAGGAGGGAGAGGGAGAGCTTGTACCTAAATAAAACTTGGGTCTTGCTAGCAATGCTTCTTCTCAGCTGTGGAGTCCTGGGAGCAAAAATTCTGCTTCTTGAGCTCCTGGCATTCAAGTTGTGAGCCGGCGATTTGGCTACTGTGCTCTGGAGCCGTCCTTCCTGAGACAAAAACGGGTGGGCCAGAGACTGAAAAACTGTGAGCTAAGCTCACACTCACTCAGCTTAAAGGGGAACACTGCTGCCGACATCCCTCCCCCTCCAAAATCTCCACGTTTTCCCAACCCAGATCCGGCAACCCTAGTTGGCCTTGCTTGCAGTGCTCCCTCTCTAAGCTGTGGAGTCTTGTGAGCAGAGATTATCCTTTGTGAGCTCCTGGCATGAAAGCTGTGAGTGAGCGATTGGGCTGCTGTAGGAGTCAGTGGACTCTGGAGCCCTCCTTCCTGAGCTGAGGGCAACATCTGTGAGCCGGAGGCTAAAACCACGGTGACACTCGCTCAGCTTCGAGGGAACACTGCTGGCTAGCTATTGGGGGCAGCGTCCCATCTAGGTTGGGCTGCTGTAGGAGTCAGTGGACTCTGAAGCCCTCCTTCCTGAGCTGAGAGCAACATCTGTGAGCCGGAGACTAAAACCATGGTGACACTCGCTCAGCTTCGAGGGGCAGCGTCCCATCTAGTGCTAGTGTAAGGTCACCGTTTTTTCGCCTCCAGCTGATAGATTCCTATCTCAGCTCAAGAAGGTTGGGTCCAGGGCAGTGTTCCCTCTAAGCTGAGTTAGTGTGAGCCAGCTCACAGTTTTTTAGCCTCCGGCTCACATATTTTTGTCTCTGCTCAGGAAGGAGGGCTCCAGAGCAAACTAATTTACGCAGGAGTCAAATCGCTTGCTCACAACTTTAATGCTAGGAGCTCAAAGTAGAATTTTTGCCCACAAGACCCCACAGCTTAGAGGGAACATTGGTCCAGGGCAAACTAACTTATGCAGGAGCCAAATTGCTGGCTCACAACTTTGATGCCCGCAGCTCACAAAGTAGGTTTTTTGCTCACGAGACCCCACAGCTTAGAGGGAACATTGGTCCAGGGCAAACTAACTTATGCAGGAGCCAAATCGCTGGCTCACAACTTTGATGCCCGCAGCTCACAAAGTAGGTTTTTTGCTCAGTCCCGCCCCGGGCCGAGGGGCCCCGGGGGGGGGGGGGGTTTGTCTCTGCACCCTTTAAAGTAGCCGCCCTCTATGCGCAGGCGCCGATGTGGGACTCCTGCGGGCCACTGAGTCACAGAGCGGGGAGGAAGAAGAGAAGGAGGAGGAAGAGGGCCCCCCCGTGGCCTGACCACCCCCAGCTCGGAGACTCACCAGAAGAAGAAAAGGAGGGCGGGCGATGGCGCCGGGCCACAGTCCAAGAAGTTCACTCGAGCTGCACGTGGCGAGAAAGAAAGAGAAGCCCCCCCGGGCGTCCCCTTTTATCGCGCCCTTCGCCCTCGCGTCAGCCAATCGCCTCGCCCGACGGAGGCTCGGGCTTCCGTCCGATTGGTCAGCCTCTTCGAGAGTCCCCCCCTTCCTTCTTTTTGATTGGACGGCGGCGGAGGGACGTCTCTTCCCCCCCCCGCTGTAC